CATTAATTATTATTTGCTTGTAAAGCGCTTTTGGACATTTTAGGAAAGGGCGCTATATAAATAAAATATTATTATTATTATTAATATTATTGTTTGGATGAGTTGTTGTGTTGATTAACAAGGATATTGGCTGTTTCGTTAAGAGTCAATAGGATTGGTCATCATGATGGATCTTTGATAGGATAATCTCTTGATTATATTTGGTTTTGAAAGCTTAATTATTCAAGCAAAACTAATTCTTCAAGTCCTAAAGATCAATAAACCATATAGCAGCTAAGAGGAATGTCACGTATGTTAAATTTAGTATTGGCTTTCCTGTGTTAAGTACAGTTCACAGATGTAACTCTGCCATAAACTGATTATTATTCATGATCCTCACGCACAAGAATATTCACATTCAAATATTAAAACATTTGATGAGATTGCTCTTTGTGTCGATTTTAGGTGATTTTTATCTTCACGTCAAACTATCAAAGTATTCAGCGCAATCCAGGAGGAAGCGTGCATGTTGAGAATGCTTATTTATGGAGGTAAGGCAGAGAAATTAATCACACACACAAAATCGGAGTTTACRAACCTGTGATGGATTGGCATACCATGCAGGAGGGGTAGTCATTCTCTTTGTGTGGGATTTTAAAGTAGTTCCACCGAATGGCTTTTCTGGACCACTAAAACCAAGGGGAATTTAAAAGTTGATTTTTGCAGAAAAAGAAAGCCAGAGATTAATCCACACAGGTGGATATGACATACTTTACATTGGAACGACTTTATAAAGAAAATGCGGATGCCACACAGGCTGATATTATGCTGAGATAGGGAATCAATCCTGGATTGCATTATTGAAAGACAAACATTCTACCATATTATGTCCCCAATGCTTTTCAAAATTGATTGCTTTATAGCTGCTTCATGCTACAGTCCTGTTGTCTTTAGTGTGCACTAAAGCATTTGTCTTAACCTTTGTTCTGGTTTTAGATCCACTGATTATGGAACATCATTTCAACGAGAAGACCAAACTAAGTTCAACAAAGGCAGCAAAAACATCAATGGAATACATTTTTGTAAAGGAAACAATAAGAGGGTAAGAATGAAGGTAGAAATTTTTACTTGAAAGGTGTTCACTTGAAAAGTGAAAACATTTGTACTACCAATAAATATTGATGATGGAGGTTAATGATGTTAATGGAAGAATCTGGGAAGAGGCAGAGGACAAGGGCAGGTCCAGCCAAAACTTTAGGGGGAGCTAATTGAGTTTCTTCTGTCAACACAACAGAAAACAATAAAAAGGAACTAATTCTTCAGCTTTTTTTCCCCTGCTAAAGTGGGGGCTTCAGCCCCCCTTGCCCCCCCCCCTGGATCTGCCCTTGAAGGGTGGGGTCTTAAAATTATCCACTTCATTATTCCACTTTTTTTGCTTTTCATGCGTTACAAATGCCATTAATGAAGTACCAGAACTTTTATGAAAAATGCTGACTAGTTTTAGTTTTATGCTATGTTAACAGACATTTCCCTGTAACCATGGAACAGAATCTCTCATATGATACTTAAAAAACATGTCGGCTTTAAAAAAGATATGATACTTACTTACAAAACATGTCGGCTTTGTGTTTTGTAGGTGGTTGTGTATGATAAGAAGGGAAAATGGGTGTACATATCTGATGACGAAGGAGATAGCTATGCAGCATATCAAGTCAACTTCACTCCTCAGGAAATCCTTTGTACAAGAGATAGTGGCAAGAACTTTTTGGTAGCTTTTGATGAAACAACATCTAAGGTAGAGTTGAAGTGAATGGATGGATGGACAGACGGACGGATGGACGGACGGACAGACAAAAGAACTAATGATGAATGGAAAATGGAAATAATTTAAAAATAAACAAGAAATGATATCAATAAATTAAAACTTGTTTTCTTTTATCAGCTTTATCATGCAAAAGACGATGGGAAAAATTGGCGATTTATCTGTAATGATGTTGTCCAATATTTCTGGTAAACTAAAGACATTTTATTATTTCACTAGTTGTTTATTTATTTAAATATAATACAATATAAATAATATAATATTTAGATCTTATTAACTGAGCGGGAGGTCTGTACGGGATAATCTTGATCGAGGTTGGAATGTAAAGACCGACCGAGGTCAAGATTATCCCATACAGACCGACCAAGCTCGGTTGATAAGAGTTTTATTATATGACCACTTTTCATTGAAAAGGATTTTAAAATGTTTTCACTGTAAGATTAATATGCGATCGGACCGGTTAATACCGGAGAATCTAGACCATAAAAATAATATTATGATTGATTTTTGTCATCAGGGGTACCAACTCTACGACATTGTTCATAGAAACACAGCAACCAGGGCATAAATGTAAGTATCAAATTGGTAATTATTGTTACAAAAATGTTTATGTTTTGGGTAAGAAGGGTAAACCTCATTAAATCCCTTTTCCATCCTTCTAGCTGAGTGGTGAATTTGGTTTCAGCCAATCACAGTGCATTAAGCTGTTTTGCCGCCATCCCTCATTCCCAGGCTACTGTTTTTAATCCAACTTTTGCATATTTTTCTATTTTCTTTTGACTAAAATATAATAATATACATGCCTATAGCTACAAAGTTGTGAACATTTCAAGAATCATGAAGGCATCAACCGTTTTTGCACGCTCAGTTTTTTGCATGGTGCAAACAATCACAAAAAAGAATAAATTATCCTATGAATAGGCACTTGCAATGCGAAATTCATGGAATTGGCCTAATTGCAAAATACTAATAGTATTTTTACTGTAGGAGGTTGGAGTCCACATTGAATAAACATGATTCTCACTTCAATCTTTTTATCTCTTTTACTGATACACAATGCTTTTACAAAACCTTAGTCGGCACTAATAATATTGTTTATTGTTTGAGATCAGTTGTATGTAACTTGGTGTGTAATGATAAAAAGGTAAATTGTACACCGTGAAAAGATGCAAAAACTTACTGACGTTTCGGACGCTAGTCCTTTATTGGAGTAAAAAGAGAAGTGTAACTTGGTGTGATTGGATACTTAATTTTATGAATTGATTGACAGACACATCGGTTTTAAAATACATCCATCTTCCTGGTGACGCATCGGACGTGAAGGTGTTTGATGCTTTGCTTGGTGGTTTTGTGACGAGGTCTTTTAAAGTGAATGGAAAATACATGTTTGTCAAGGTATGATACTTCATCAGGGTTGGTATAGTAGTACTGCACTTGCCTCTCACTCTTGCAGGGCTTAAAATAATGGCTGGACATCAGACAGTGTCTGCCCAGAATTGGAACTTTTCAGGTCAAATTTTTAAATTCCCAGTCATTTTGACAAGTAATGTTGAGCCAAAAACGAGGCATGTCCAAGCTAAAACTAATTTGGCCCGTCATCTTGACCAGCGACTTACCAGCTGTTACTTTAAGCCCTGCTCTCTTGGGTTTTGGATTTGATTTATGGACTCGGCATCATGTTAGTAGAGTTCATGAGGTTTCCCCCCTTGATTCAAGGGTTTTTCTCTGGGTTCTTTAATTTTCCTCTCTCCCCCAAACCTAACAAACTTAATAAGTTGAGTTGTTCCCTGACTTTGATCATCCCAGAGGTTGTTTTCAAGGTGGGGAGACAACAGGATTACCATGATGAAGGAGACTAAACCTTGAGATGAAAGATGTTACTCTAATAGCCATTAAAATATGGTCATTATTCCAGTCATTGTTCCCTTTCAAAAATAATCAAGTTCCACAAATATTTTTGTAATATTGCCTTCTATTATGTGTCATAAAAATTTGTCTTTAGAAAATGTACCCACAAATGGCAATGTATGTATCTTACAATGGAAGTTCCTTCAAGAAAGCAATGTTTCCCTTTAACTTGGATGTTAAGGTAAGGTAGATATACTCTTAAAAGATAGTAAATAATATTGTATGACTTAATGCTGCAGGGATCCCAAAAATGGGTGTGGATGTGTCTGGGGGAAGGGGTGTCTGGGGAAGGTGTCTGGAGGGTCATTGCTCCCTTAATTTTAAGATTGCAGACCCCTCAATACTACATCTACATCTACATTTATTTAAGTCCATCAAAGGGGGACCCATCACAGATAGACTATGATAGACTAGATAGATAGACTACTCACATTTAAAGATACTCTATGGCTCCTATAGCTGTTTTGTTGCTCTAAACAGTTTTTAAATTAACTAATTTGTTCCCCTTATTTTTTTTTTCTCCAAAGGATTTCAATGTGGTAGATGCCAGTGAAGATGAAGTCTTATCATGTATCCGCCATGATGATTATTACAATCTTTATATTTCTGATAAAACTGGAACAAAGTATTCGCTGTCACTTCGTAGGATACTTGCAACTTCTTCATATCAATGGGGACGGACACTGAAACTTGCTGATATTCACAGAGTAAGAAATCAGAAATGATATTGGTGTCACAACGGCCATGTTGGTGTACGAAAACAATACATTTTCTAACCTTGTGGTATTTCAATTTTTATGCAAAAACTGTGCAGAAAGTTTCTGTTGTTTGTTACACCAATATGGCTGCCTTGTCACATGAGTGAAAACACTCTAGATACCCAGTAATAATTGTTATGTAGTGAGTCATTCCAATTGCGTCCTAGTGATGGGCTGCAGCATGTTAAATAATGACTTTACATTATTTTTGTGGTTGTAATGTAAAGATTATTGAAACAAGATTGTTAAATTAAGGAAGTGAAATGATGGTACTATTACTAATGAGACTTTCTTAAAAATTTCAGGTCAGAAGTTTGCGTGGTGTTTACATTGCAAACATCCGGAGAAAGGACGCCATTGTTCGTACATTTATCACCTTTGATAAAGGTGGTGAATGGAATAGACTTGCCATTCCTGATAATGTTCAATGTAAAGAGGTAATACATACATATCATTAAGCCATGGCTTGCAAAAGCTGTTACACTTTTATGAAGTCCTGAAACAACCTCTAGGCTTACCTGAGTCAGTGCACGGCTAACTCACAGATCAAACCCTGAAACAGAATCTGGGCTGATCTGAGTCAGGGCACGGCTAACTCACAGATCAAACCCTGAA